AGCTCTACCTCCGGCTCGCTAGGGCTATCAGGGGATGCAACTCGGTTCGTAGAACCTGCATCAAACCCGTTGGAAGGACTATCTGAGCTATCCAAGCTAGACATCGGGGAGTGAGATGGGATCCAGGAAAGTACTCACCCGGAAAAAGGCTGTAGACCACAGGAGCTCGGACGAGCAAAAGACCTTGAACGCGAGCTGAAAAAACCTAGACGCCAACTGGATGCGAGCTGAAACTCAGACGTGACCTCAAGAGAAACACAGAAGTGACAGCGACTGGGGTCCCCCCTGCTATTTATACTCGTAGTGATCGAAAAGTGACGGCTTAGATCAAAGCCAATCCGACGGCCCACAGCCGCACTGACCGCACGTCCCCCGAGACCGAGACGTGATTGGCGCACGTCTTCCTGAATCTGACAGGGCACCGGCGCACGTCTTTTCGGAACTGACGGAACACCAGCGCACGTCTCCTCAATAAAAGCGGCAGTGGCACGTTTTTTTCAAAATTGAAAAGACGCCTGCTATCGCGCCTCCCAAGTGGCGTGCTTTTTGAAATTTTGAAATAAAGCACGCGCCATCGCATCTATCGGCGCCTAGGCAGGCCGGCACGCTTCCCGCCTTTTGGACGCTCGAAGAAACCCAAGAAACCCTGACAACGCACCTCGCGGCATCAGAACCAAGATCCAACGGTCAAGGCAAATCTACCTGACACCTTGCGAACTCCCCACGCCAGGGCAAGACCCTTGGCGCAAGGAGTGGGGGGCAATTGATGAAGGAAGATTTGGCCCGACCTTGCAATCACGCCACATGGCAAAAAACAAGTAGCTCGTCACTTAAAGCAACGTACCTAGGGTGCAAACACCAAAGGGAAGAAACCAACAGTCCAAACTCCCCTCGAGGAGACTGAACTCCCTTCGAGGAGCCCGAACTCCCTACGAGGAGCCCGACCTCCCTACTAAGAGCTCGAACTCCCTACTAAGAGCTTGAACTCCCTACGAGGAGCCCGAACTCTCCCTTTGACCCCGAGCCACACAAAGCAGTGACCCAAACTGGCCCGCCTCATGGCAGTTCGGGACACTCCCTTATCCAAACTCAAGACTTCGCCTCGCACACCGCTCTAGCACTTCGCCTCCAGAACGCCAAACTGGACAAACCACACCGTACCTGACAC